CGTCTCATTTTAATCAGAAATGTGCGGGCTATAATTATGCCTCATTATGAAAGGTTTTAATTATTTTTTAGAATTTCTCAAAAACTGGTTTTGCAGAAAACCGAGACTTCAAGAGCCGTGGGCCAAAATCCTTTTAGTCTTTTTACCAGCTCGATGTGCTCTATAAAACGAGGTATGAATGAAGGAAATCGGAGTTGAGCACCTGGGGCGATTTTCTCGTCAGATGAATATCGACCAGTTAAAACAATCGCAGAGGTCGCCATTCGTCATTAGTTAACGGACAACTCTTGCACTGATACTTTTATAAGAAGTGTTTTGATACCTAGTATTAGACATGCACCAGTGTAACCGATTGATATTGTGCTCTTTTTTCGCAAAAAAGTTTTTTCTGCGACGAAAACTGATCTTCTAAATTCATGTCCTCAGTCCTTTTTAACATTTTACACCTCAAGTTCTGCCTGCAAAAATACATTCGCTGTGAAGGGAGATCGTTTTAAAGGAATATTAAGAGTGAGAGTGAATGTGTGGTTATGTGTGAAAGAAGGCCTACTCCACACACATTCTTAGAGTATCACATGAGAGGGCATGCTTTGGATATAAATGTGTGAAACTTTACATTTGCTTTTTAACCAAAACTATTATTATTTCTATTAACTTCGATTGAGACTGTCGATGATTTATTTGTTCTTTATAATAGGTACTAATCATGCATAAGCTATTGAAAAGAGTATTGTAGTCATCAGAGTCAGGGCAAGAAAGCGTTTCTACAAACTTGGCTCGTATCTTATGTTATCCAGGGAGAGAAAGAGACTAATTTGTTGTATCAATCCAATAGTCATCGGCAAGCGTAGTTGCTTTCTCATCGTAACCGTAGTCGGCTAGAAGAAGCCGAATGATATTGTGTGCCGCTAGACATTGACTTTCCATCGTACTAATGAAACTTTCAAATGCATTGACATAATAGAGACCTTCATCTGGATTGATTGCAGGAAAGATTGTATCGTTTTTCGGTGGTGCTCGAGGATAGGCGTGCCACATTTTTCTGTACACCCAGCCAACATTGGCCTTTCCATCAACGATTTCTGCGAGTTTCGAATCATCTAAATAGATGGGGCTGAATAATTTGACAAGACGTTCCTTGCGGGGATAGAGAACTTTAGAGAAGCTCATGGCCTCCACATCAAGATTGAGAACTTTAGTACCATTTTGACGTTCGAGATATCGAGTAACAAGCAAAGAAAGTGGGGTAGCCATTTTCATATAAGATGAGCCTAGATGAGTGGCGTTTGTTGTAAATAAAGTAACATGCTGTTGGACATAGTCGACTTTGGTAATTTCATCCCGGATATCTAAAAACGATGGTTTAGAATGTATAATAAATATGTTAAGGTTCTTACTGATTAGGGCGATATTCGAGTGATGTGGAGGTGTGGCAAGAATGACAGCGTCGTATTTCTTGGAGGACTCTGTTGTCGTTACAGTCCAGTTCCCATTTCGTCTGTTTTTGCTGATTTTTGTAACTGTCTGATTCGTTTTTAGTTTCGCTGAACTTGCTTTGATCATGTTCTCTGAAAAGAAATTAGACTTTGTTTGCTGACAGATAATTTCGTTGCGAAAAGTGGAGTAATTAACAGTTAAATCGAATTAACAAGAGGCTTTAGTGAATAACGGCGCGAAGCTCCGAATCCGAGTTCGGCTGTCTTTCATCAATCTTGAATATGAATCGTAAGATCAACTGTTAGTTGATTGAATTTCATATTAGCAGTGGTAAAGTGAGTAAATTAATTTTGATTCGAATGTGCATGCTTTCCTATTAGTTAATACCACTGTTAATTCTATCGCATGACCATCCGCCTCCATGACATATATCAGAGATGGTCTTTAAAATCATCACGAACTCACTACTTCAGAATGAGATCTTTCGTATGCTGATTCAAGAGAATTAAAATAAACTTCAGCATAAACTAATGCTAATTTTTTTACCACTACTGAATATTTTAAGGCTCAAACGTTTGAAAAACATCCTCGAAAATCAATTCAAGCTTTTACTTGAATGAGAAGTCGCCCATATGCGACCACCAGTCCTATGCCATAAAAAGGTTTCTTCGTGCGTAAAGAATGGATGGGGAAATCTACTGACGGAAATGGATTATCTCACACTTACCAATTTTGAGATGGAATAAATTGCACAATGGTAAAGGTTACGTTAGAAAATATAAAACTGCAAGACTAACGAAAATAATGCTTCATTTAGAGTCTAATAAGGCTGAAACTGAAGAGTATTTAGTTTTAGTGAAGTGATTGACTCATACTTACCGAAAATCTTATAATTGCCTCCTTTAATTGAATTGCCTCTACCAGCCATGGCTACCATGGTCATGACTGCATGAAGTTGTGTCACTTGTTGTCCATAAGTTCCCTGTGTAATACTGTCGGACAACTCATTTACCGTTACGTTATCCACCCCGTTATTCACGAGAAACGTGAAGCCCGATTCATTGACTAGTGGTTTTAAGTCTATTGCTTCGACATAGGCTTCAACGGTTCGAAATGGTCCTTTCAATAGTTGGAAGCTTCGTTGGTAAAGACGAAGAAAACGTTGAACAGTGGCTTCGGTTAACACTTTCATTTTCATGAGAGATAATGAACTATATCTGGAGATAGACATTGAAACGTTGTTGGTAAATTTTACTTTTCATTGTTTTAAAATACGCACCTAGTAGCCACATTGTTCATGTCAACAAGCATCGTTTTCCCATCGTACAGATAGTTAACATGATTGTCATCGGTTTCATGATATTTCGGACTCAAACTGAACTGTTCAATGGCGCGTACCAAGTGTAAGTTGAAAGGAATGTATATTGAGGCGCCTATTTCAACTGGATCGTATTTCGAATCATTGTAAGGATGGATGATTGCTGCTCGGCCTCCCACTCTGGGCTCTTTCTCATAGACTGTTATTTCTATTTTGTCTCTGAGAGCCAAAGTGAGAAGTTGTTTATGGAGGAAGAAAGCTGCCGAAGAGCCAGCCGCGCCACCTCCAATGATCGCTATATGCTGTACTATTGACAAGAGAAACAAGAATGCCGTTATCATTATTTAAACGCTTGTTAATAACACACTTCCTTTTTTGGTAAAAAAACTAAGAAAGAATTCTAACAAGAAATGTCTTACATAATGTTTTAGAGACGCTATAGATGCCTAACTTTTTTCGAAAATCCACATTATTTTGGTTTTGTAGCTAATTTATAGAATTGCTTATTGGCCTTTATTAATGGAAGAAAAGAAATACAAATGAAACAAGAAATATAGTGACAATTTTTCATCCTTTCTGCCATTCAAAGAGGAACTAATCAATCGCTATTCTCTGAAAATGTTGGTTGTTCCTGTTTGGCTCACTAACAGAACAGGTCAGTTAGTCTCAATCGCATCTGTTATCTTACTTTCACTTTTTGGCATCTTTCTATGTCTGAACTTTAATCCGATAATTAACATGAGAGCCAAAAAAGCAATAGCAACGATAGTGCAGACGATCCATATCCATTTGTTCATTTGTCGAAGATGTCTCAGGAGCGATTCAATAGCAGATTTTTTGGATGTAATGACTTATATAGATTCTATATGCAGAAGATATGTCGTCCTTGATCTTTCTTCTCTTCCAGAGCAAACAAAGAAAAATATGCATCTGTCAGCAGTATAGGAGCGTCAAAAATAGCGAGACTACATGTTTTTCCTTCTCTTGATATTTTTCTTGCCTTGATATGCATAATTCATGTTGTATTATTTTTTTCCTTCGACTTGTCAACTATGAGACGTTTCTGATTCCGTCTCTTATTTTTTGTTTTTTTCTTCTTGTATTGTTGTTTACAGTGGAATATGATGAATATCCAAAATAAGCACTGCCGTGCTAAGTTGACATCATGCAATCAGGTTGACAAAATTACGGTGGAAAGTAAAATATTAAGGCTGACATGTCTATGATAAATCAACTAAGTAATCGAAATATTCACAGCATAGCTAAATGAATACGTAATAATTCATTCAAGTGCGAGTATTATAATCTACTTCATTAACTTTGATTGAAAAATATCATAACCAAATATTTCAACAACAGTGGGTATCTTCAGTTTACACGTGCTTGTGCTCGATGTATGATATAGCAATCAAATAATTTCAGTTCAAAATAATCTTTCCCACAGTTGAGGCTGAGGTGAATTTAAATTATTTTTGATCGAAAAGAAAAAGCTTTAACGAGTTCATATAGAGCTATCAATAATCATTTTACTTCTCCACAGAATTAAGTTCTTATGACTAGAATGTGCATACCCAGATTACATGCTCTGTTTTGCACGAAAGACTAAATAAAAAGAATCATACAACAGGATGGGAATCGAATCCATATCTTTCAATAACCGGCTGGGTATTCCATGAGTTATTCTATTTGATTGTTTTCCACTTATGTGAGAAATATGTTCACTATGAAAGTATCCGTAACAAATTATTATGTTGAACGTTACTCACGTAATCTTCACTTTTCTCTAACTATACAATCTCATCTGATGAATCATTCCTCAATCTCAGTCGCTGTCTGTGAAGTAAATGCTTACTAATTGTGTTTTCATAGGAAACATCTAAGTGTGATAATTGTCTTGATGGTAAAGATGAAAAAGTAAAGGAATCAACAATAAATAATGAATAGAAATGAGATACAACAGAAATAACTAATATAAAATATATTATTGATCTTCTTTTTAACTTCTTTATTCCTAATTTTTTTCTTTCTTTCTCCTTCTCTTCTTCGCTTTTCTATTTGTCTTTGCACCCCGTTTTTCTCTGTGTTTTTTTAAGTTGTGAGTTTTTACTTGCAGTGGGTGCCATAATGATTCGATTGCCCCTCACGTTAAATAAATTACGTTTACATCAAAATAGATATTTTTCCATCGACTGAAGGGAGGATCATATGAAATAAAATAAGTTTGTATGTGTGTTTGTGTCACGAGTCAAAGGTTAGAGATCACCGGTGAAAGATCCAGGATGAAAGGTCAAGGATCATTTACACTGATTGAGGCTACTTCGAGCTGGTTCAGAACAATTAAGGTTAATCAAGACTAGTTAAGATCAGATAAGATTAAAGGTAGTTAAGACTAATTAAGAGACACTTTACCGCTCCATCAAACATGGTCATACTTTCAAAAATTTTGACTCCTACATAGGGCTGTAGCCGCAGCAGTTTTAAACCATGAACGTCAACTGGTAGGGTACAGTGACGTCCTCAACTATCAATTGTATCCCACTAGTTGACGTTCTCAACTGTCAACTAGACTCTATCAGTTGACGTTCTCAACAGTCAAGTAAAATAATCATATCGTTGAATGTCATTATGGTATTTTCCCATGTTAGTAGGGTGTCTTGCTACCAGGACGGTTTTAGAAGATTTTGGAATTGGGAAGGAGAATGTTAGTTTGTTACTCAGACCCTGGTCTCGCAGTGTTTGGAAGCATAATACTATCTTTCTTCTTCTAGTCTGCCTGTGTGGAGTTCCTCTTTAGTTTTTATTACATTTTTAGTTAGTCAGATCTTTTACAAATAAACTTTTACAGAAGTCAGCTAAATTCTTTCTTTATTGGGTGTTTATGGGCTTGACTCGTTTGTTTTAACTGACAAGCGCTCATTTACAGTACTTCAAGCTAAAATCACTTATTCTAAATTTCTTTTTTTCAAGCGTTTTTGTTGGCACAGTGGAAACAATGCGAGGTGCAGTAAAAGTATTAACTGCACTCTGGCAAGAAAATCAGTGAGATATACCAATGTTCAGTGAGATATTATCAATGTTATATCGAAAATATTCATCAATACCTGCCACAAGTGTTTCTGGTGTCGCAAGTTATCTGTTGAGAAAACAATGAGGTTCACTCTCATCAAAACAAATGAAATACTGTATGTTTTTAAAAGACAAACTGTAAAACTGTTGCTACGCTTCTTTTCTTATGTCTGCACCTGTCTGTTTTCTTGTTTTATAACTTGTACATTTGCTGTTTTTTAATGTATTAATATTTATTAAAAACATTGAAGAAGTTCATAGAGGAGAAGTAAATCGGAATCTTGTTGGCAGACCCCAAAATGAAGAGAAAATCAAGAGCAAGGTGGCTGGATAAAGAGCAAAATTCGAGCAGAAAAGCGTCAAAAACACCCAAATTTCAAAACTGATAAAATACAGTTGACAGTTGAGAACGTGAACTATAAAATCGTTCGCGCTCCCGTTCAGTTTTTTGCCAAATCAACGTGAACTACACCCCTACTATCAACATTCAGTTATTGCTGTTCTTCATTAATTAAAGACGAACAGAGTTTCATTATTGTTAAATTATTTGTATTAGTAATTCCTTGGTAATAAGTTGTTGATTTGTAGGGATTTTGAACTGGAATTGTTTCTAAGTTGTAATAGATACGGTATTAGACCGCACCCACACACTGGGAAACCGGTTTTGCTTCGAAGTTTCAATTAAAGAAATTTAATATCTTCTGTTGAATTATTTTAAGGCGTGCGTAATTCAAAAATCAAGTACTATTTTACTTTTAGCGTCTGTATATTTGAATCGATAGAGAATTTGATGCTGATGACGAATATCGCCCTTTCAGCCTTTCCAGTGCCCTTTTTCATGTCGAAAAATTGAAAATACGGGACGGGTCTTAAAAGCCGAAAAACTTTCTCGCTTCGAAAAAAGTTGAACACTTTTTATTTTGAAACTCTCAAACAGCTTTTTTCTAATTCAGCGTTGAAAATCGAATTATAAAATATGCCCATATGTAATGTCATTGCACGAAAAATTCATCGTCAAGGATATCTCCAAAGCGGGGACCTCATCGGAAAAAGCTACCTAGTTTTTTTTGGTAAAAATAGAATGTTCATTCTTGCGCCATTCGAGCGGTCATTATTCGAACTACAAAAGTACAACCCGTTTTTTTTGAAATTCCTCTCCATTGGTGAGAAATTTCACTTTTGCTAAATCAGGAGCGAAAAGATCGGAATTCTGCCCGTAATTCTCAATTTTCTCCACTAGAACTCGCTTTTTATGCAATAAAAGTATCATATTCAGAGTCAACGTCAAAGACTGAGCCGAATGACATATGATTTGAAAGTTTCCGTTGATTTTCATTTTTTGGCGAAAATTTTGTGTTTTGTGTTTTTCGAAATTTACTGAGATTTTCACCACAAAATGAAATCAATAATTCTGTGAGTAATTATCAATTCATCGACAAAACGGAAGGATATATGTAATCAGGTGTACTCTTCAAACTGACATACTTTAAGGGTACATATAGGGGGGTGGACCTCCCCCTAAGAATGGTACGCTGTTTCTTCTTATTC